AGCTTGTCATACATGAAACGAAAATAAATCTAGCTTATTTCAAGTCTGTGAGTAGGATCCCAAGTCTGACAAGGCCATAGCAGATTTAATTTGCGTCTGTAAACGGCTGTCATCGCTCGTTTCTTTATCACACTGGTATGTCAGTAAAACCCTTTGCCTACTAATAACTCGGTCTTTAGTGAGGAAATTGATATTCCTTATGCACCGAAGTGATCAAAGGGTTAATTTTATGCATTTACATTCCACGCCTGCTTAATTGTAGAAGCGTCAAATGCTGTTGCTTATTATTAACGTCATCAGCGGTCTTAGCCGTTTTGTTATTTTGTACGGATAGCCTATCTTCTATTGTTAACTTGACTGTTGGAAACCGAAGTGCCGAGAATGTTGTATTGCAAAATAGTATAGAATATAGATAATAATTCTAATTTAGGAAGCTTATTAGTTGTTTTATAGCGCAAAAGTTCAATCATAATCAAAGATATATATATATATATGTATTTTCAAACGAAAAGTCTCAAACTTACGCACTGAACGTTATTAGTTAGAGGTCGATCAGATATATTTGTAAAATATCCCGAAGTAAATAATGGCAGCGGTATCCGTATACCATTTAAGTGTTTAATATTATTATTTAAGTGTCTAAAGAATATTATCAGTAAGCGAAAGAGGTATCGTCAACTGCAGATGAAAAAAAATTATACTATATTGCCCGTGTTTTACGAATAATATTTGTAGCTTGTAGGACTGATTTTTATTCGGATAATAGATTTGCTCATCATCAAATACCTGATCTTGTCAACTATAGATCGCGCAGTTTTTTTTATTGCCCTTGTTCTTTTGGTATTTTAAAATAAGATTAGTTGAATAGTATTGAGGTTGTCCTTGCAAGATTTTAAATAAACTTGTTATACCGTAATCATATATGTATATTATTTTTTTTGGTAATGTAACTTAAGGCTAAACAGTATTCTTCAGTCAAAAATAATGATAAGTCGTGGTATCATTTCATATCTCTTCAATGTATTGATATGACCCTTCTCGAAAATCTACTTGTTCTTGAACTTGCCACAAAAGATATTCCTCTTCTTCAATTTCTTGTTGTTCTTGTATTTCTACGAGTATCCTGGGTCGTAGGTTAGCAGTTCTATTCATATGATTACTAATTTAACTATATAAAATTTTGTGTTAAGAGATTATCAAGGTTTGGCTCTTAGTTGAGGCATGTCGTTCCTCATTTTCAGTATTGCTCGAATCTTGTTTATAAATCTACTGAAGGAAGGCTTTCTTGTGTTACTGGCTAAATCACCTCCATAATAACTCATGTGTATATGTGTTTTGTTCTAGACCAGGGGTGTGCAACATTTTTTCGGTTATGGCCTGCGGGCCGTCTGTTGCACACCCCTGGTCTAGCTAGACATACCTCACTCCTGTGCATGTTGGTTAGTGAAATGATCGGCAGCATCCAGTATTGGTGTTAAACACAAGATAGAAGATTATTTACACAGAGATCTAGAATCAACACGGCCTTCGCAAGCGCTCATATTTCCCTACTCCCAAATGAGCTACGAAATAGAATTGTAACATTCTAGAATATTCAGCTGATTTTTTTTACTTTCAGGTCGCAGTTTATTGGGCAAAAGTAACAAAGATAACAACACCAAGGTAAGAACTTTTTTCACACTTTGTACTTATTACCCGTGTGCTGAGTGCTGACTTAATTATTTTCAAATTTTATAATGAAAAAAAATCATTAAACACATGATTGCATAGTGAGAGATTTTTCATTTAATGGTTTACTTGACTAAATTATTTCTATTTTGAGTGTTGGCACTGATTTGAGGAAATCTTTTATTAAAACACTTTTTAAACATTCATCACCAAGCTCAATCAAATATGTTTGCTGATTATAATCGAGGATGAAATTTTAATTAGCTTGTGTGAACGATCTTTAATAATTAACGATGTTATGAACATGTACACTACTGAAAACGCATTTTACATTAGATTAGAGTAATTGCATCATTCTCTTATTGTAGCTGTAGAATAATAATATTATCCCAATCTAGAGTGTAGTAGGCAATATGCTATTTCTACTGATAGATTTCTGCTTTACTCTTTCAGTATTAACCAATACATGAGTATTGTAGTTGTATTGGTAGTCTTGATTTCCTTCACTTATTACTAAGATATTCGGCAATGATCTTGATAGTACAAGCCTTCAAAATTCATTTAAAAAGTTCCTTTTTTCTGGACTATTATCTCAATTTGACCTAAATATGCATAAATATTTTGTTAAAAACTAAATCAATTTAAATCTAAAGCAGCAGTTTCCATTTTGTAATTCCCAGACACTATGCAAGCTCCTCAATAATCAAATTGTTTGAATGTTCTTGTCCTTACCATCCAGGTTTTATTTCGATTGCCAATTTAATTTATAAAAAAACTGGCATTCACCTGGCTGACAATTTTCAATTTATATTATGGGTAGAAATGTTCATTGTTTCATTTTTCTATATTTATTAGTCAAATAATAATACGCTCTCCCCAGCCAGGCACATACCACCTCATGGTTTAGTAGTGTTTCGTTGCATGGAATGCATTGCGATTTACGCTTGAGACAAGCAGCGCGCTCGTTAATGTAGATGCTGCATTATACCTTGCTTAAATTATTAGCAATCAGTCAGTCATTATCTGCAACAAGATTTTTTCATTTATTGTGCCTTTGTATAATGAGACCTCATAATTTGTCTGTTCTCCGGACACTAATACAATATATACTTTATCACAGTGACGTGTCCGGTTTGTTGTGCTTTCATATTCACTGTATTATCGTGGTGTTTGTACACGGTGCATGTTTTCTCTACGTACCCAGCCATATGAATATATATAAGTTCAGGAGATTTTGATAGCTTATTGCCCGGAAGTGTTTGAATGTTTGTTTATGTTCACATAAGTATAGACCACACATGTATGTATCTGTTGCTCTCGATCGGCAATTTTTTTTATGATTATTGCAATATGCCGTTGTGAATCTAAGAGACGCACGATTTGTGTAAAACACAAGGGTTTTTAAAGTCAAACCAAAATCTATACGCTATATATTCAAGTACTGTCCCATTCTCTTGCCGATTCAAAGATGACGTCAATTTTTGTTTATCTCTAAGAATCTGCGATTTCAAGGCTTTCCCGTATTTTTCTTTTCGAGCTGAAAAGTTACAAATTATTTAGTTAAATTATGATAATTAAAAATGAGGAGAAAGTAAAATTATTAAAGATAATTTACATAAGCTTTTATTCTTGCTAGGTCAGGCACCCAGTATATTGAATTATCAGTTAATCTAGTTTAGGGTTTAATTTACTGCTTCACAGTTTGCGAATACTAGAAAGTGAAAATAAAAGAAACGAAATTGCTAGGACAGATAACAAATCTTCAGCAAAAAAATTGCTGGTATTTTTCTGGTCAACAATCAAGACTCATTAATACCAGATATTACTAACCCTATTTCATTCTAGTGAAAATAATTCTAGAATATTCATCTTTACGTCCTTTATTAATCTTTTTTTTTTCGATCCTTTGTATTCATTTCATTCAATCTGTAGTTTTGTTCCCCAAATTTTACGATAGCGTACCCACGTTTCTTCTGTCTCAAAAACTCAGCCACTTTGTGGTATTTGCCTGCGTTGGGGAATGGCGCAGTTGGTTACAAGATTTATGTATCGCACTCGCTTATGTTTGATTTTTTTTTTCTTTTTGGTTGTCTCGGTGTTATAGCTTCCCAACAAAAGGAAGAGGTCGCGATCCCAATCCTTTGAATCGGTGAGCTACCTCTGGCAGAGTATTTTTTCTTGTTTATATTCACATTTTGCAGTTTATTGTTTTAGATTAGGCTAGGTTATTTCATTATTATTAATTGAAATACTAACCCAACAATATGGCCCTGTTACGGAGCAGAAATTTTTGAAAATTTGGTAATCGGGAAATACATGGATTTTCTTGTTATATCATTATCAACAATTCCAGAACTTTTACCAATAACTTTATGTAGTTTGGCTTTTTGAAATTATTTTTTTTTTCCTTTTCATTGTAAGTTAGAAAATATATCTAATTCTGTGACAACGCAAGCAAATGTTATCGTCACATTCATATTCAGAAATGCCTTTTGGTTATTGCAGTAATGCGATATTATTAGCCTTTATAAAATGCCACATAAGTAGAAATGGGACAGTGCTTGATTCATGCTATTAACGTTCTTCAAAATGAAAATATTGTATGCGCATGCCAAGTAGTGTATTCTTATGAAAACTTATTCCGTGTGGTATGAGGGATGATTTTTAATGGTGTTTTGAACGATGGAAGTTGTGTCTTGAAAATGGCGTTATTAGTCAGGTTGATGTTTTCCTAGCACGGCTCATGAGAAGAACGCGTGGATGGTTTTTATTTTTGATCCATGCAGAAAGTAGAATTTATAGTTTATAATAACAGTAATAAAATAGTTTTTTTTAAAGTTTGCATGTTGCTCAATCCTGATGGTTTGAACCGAATATCCGGTCAAATACGTATTCTATAGCCTTATCAAGCATTTCTGTCTTGTACTTTCGGTCACATCAAAATTGACAAAAATGCATCGATGTTATGCAAAAAACTTTTTTAAAGTTATGTTCACTTTTTCTTGCGATGCTGAACAACCGTCCGGATTGACCTCATCTTTTTACGCTTGCGTGCGTTAACTGGTGCGTAGAAATAGCGATGCGCACGGACGTAATAAGATTTCATCTGTTTGACTAATTCGGAATTTGAACCAATTTTACATAATATCTAATGTTTTCTAAATAATATTCTTTGCTAAAAAATAGTATCACTTCTTCATATGCTATAGAAATCCAGTTGTTGAAACCGAGTGTGTCATTATCATCCGTAGACGTAAATTGTAGTTCATACAACGCATGCTAACTATGCAAATTAGTTTCAATGCACCTACTGATGAAGCACATTTTTGTAGAAGGATTCGTCAGCCGGAGATTCTACCTCAAGTCCGTCTGCCCCGAAAAATCCGTCTACATCCTCGAGCGAGGATTCTGGTAGCCCTCAAATGAAGTCAACGGGAAACGCAAAATCGATGGGTTTATCTGGTCTGGTGCAGGCTCTCAAACCTACCGGGGCTGCGAAATCCCAATCGGTGCTAAAAACGTCAACGGGGACCATTATCAAAGCAGCCTCCAAAAAGGTACTTTTGCACCGCATCTGAGCTGAGTTTTAAGCACGTATACATTCGCCGACTTGCGGTTGTTATCATAGCATTAGCGTAGTTTTATACCCGCGATTTGGCGCATGAAACACTTTTAGTTGCTGTTCATTTTTTCTGCCTGAAAAGCTAGCTAGTCATGGAGCTTGTTTTCAGTTGGTTCAATTTTTCAATGCACGCTGTTTCGAATAGTAACTACTTGTCATTTTTCAATCCACGATTCTTGTTAATATACGGATTTCAGTTGCATCATTCACCGCTCACATCTAAAAACTGAGCGTTAGGTATTCCAGCCAATGACCATTATTTTTGCCGTAAAGTATTGGTGTGGCAAATTTCACCGTTATAACAGCTTGGGTTTGCTTTTTCCGTCATATTTCGTCAACTTTGATTGTCGGGTTATTACGCAATATATCGCAAAACATCACAACGAAACGTAGCAAACGATTTTCTCATGCTCTTGCAGTTTGTATTTGTAATACCTGGTGACATTAACGATATATGAGCGCAAGTTGAATTTGAATAACATTCAATAGTTATCTTTAAAAGCGAAATAGGTCAACAGGTGTATTTCCGTTCGTTTTCGATATAAAACAGACATTGATTTCCTGTTTTTGTGAGGCGAGTTTTGTTAATTTGGTGTCAATGAAAGTGTTTGTTTTGTGCATGTTGTTTATTTGTAAAATTTTATGATCATTGTGGGGTGTCTAACGTGCGTGTTCAAAGTATGCCGTGATTTTTACCGTATTTAGTTTGTATTACATTTCCATGTTATATTTTTGTTTTCTTTTACGCGAATCTGGGCCAAAATTAGATAGGAATTTAAGTTCCACCTCTATTTTTCGAATTGAGAGCGTATATAGTGCATGCTTGGCTGCGATTAGTGATATTCCTGTGGTCAATTGATGACTGCGTAGTTTAACTAATATGTTTTTCATTTCATTCTCTCGTTTCGCTTCTCCATGCATCACTCTCTTCTCAACTGTCGCATCACTCCAAATTGTTTTCTTCTCGACACCAAGGAACCGCAGGCGCAGGTTACGGTGGTAAGGGCCGACACTGCCCAAGCCAACCAAAAGGTAAAACCAGACATCGAATATCACGGGGCCGCACCCTTCACCTGCGTTCGGCTAATTGACATTTTCCTTTTTTATGAATAAGAAAGTTCCGATATGAATTAGCACTAATAATACATTTTCGATTTTGCCTAATCTACCTTAATTGAAACTCTAGTAATATAATAAGGAAGAGGCATGGTTTGCACTTCTCAACTAACGAATAAATCATGCATTTATTATCACGACACTGTGCATGGCGAACTAGTTTAACGCGGGCTATGTCCGAAACACGCGAAGCATGCGGCCTCGTGAAACGACATATACAACCATTCGGGATTGGAGTGGAATGGAAAACAATATAAATTTCATGACATATTCAATTAATGAAGACTTATTTTTGGCTCGCTTTCGATATCTATATGCTATATAACTTAGGGGTCTGTGCCTTACATGTGCTCTACTTTTCCGTCTGTGAAACTAACGTTCTTTCATTTTGTACGATTTATTTGTGGTTCTACTGTAAACCGTCAAAAATTTTGCATAATTAAATCATATATAAAGGATCGAGTATGATTTGGCCCGCTCGTACATGCTGTGTTTTGGAATCACCCCTATCAATTTCCAGTCACAAATGATAGACAATTATTAGGCTGTCACTGGATTCATCGCATCAACGTTGCTATATTGCCTAACTGTTTTTTATAATGCGCGAATGACTGCAATGGTTCAGCAGAACTGATAAATTACTCCATTTAATTTAAATTGATTTTCCATTCACCAATCCGCAGGTGTTAGGAGAACACACTTTCGTTGCAGTTGCAACTCGCACCCACAGTAGTACATCTTATACTGCTAGCCTTTATTTCTCGTAACTGTATTTATTTGACTAAATTCCATTCATTTTGCATGTTGCGTTGTCATTATATTTTAATTAATTCAATTTGAAACAATTTTTGAATTCGAGATCAGTTTCGTTAATTTGATCATTTAATTTTGCATTACACACTGAGATAAATGTGTTTCTTTAGATTTTACTGCTGAAACAAGTTCATTTTGACGTGTTGCGATTCAAAAACAGATCAGAGAAGAATTATATTCGCGCTGTGTGATCTCATTAATGACTCAAATATTTACTGGCATTAACAGCGTTTTCCTGTTCTACGTTTTTCAAACCATATCGATTCGCAATAAATCAACACTAACCAGACTATTTCTGTGGCATTTTAAGTAATGGCCCGTTTCCATATGACATCTCCGACCATCATAATTATTTTCAGCCCCATAGCATATTACGTTTTAATTAGATTCGTGGTTTTTAAAGTATATGCATCAACCATCTAACCTCATAAGGCTGTTATTATGTCCATAACGCATGACGGTCATTTTCAGTAATAGTATATATTAGTCGCCCAGTCATACTAACTCATGTAGCATTTTACTCGCTGACTAGACATGCAACAATTGATGGCTTTTTATGCTCCTCCGAGCATGAATATATAAACCTATTTTGCATGTTAATGTAGGGCTCTGGAGAAAGTGGTTCAACTGTTGACGACGAAGAAACTAGGGGTAAGATTTAATTTAACACTTAATATATCGAAAATTACCGTTTTTAAATTGGAAGAATGATTGCCGATTGCTGAACTTTTTGGCATACAAAACAGCTATCTGTTTTTAATCACTCTTTCCATGGTGGCGAAATCTGGACTCCAATGTTTTAGCAGAGTGGTTTTAATTGATCGAATGACAAATCTCCTGTATCACCAATCCTCTTGGACTAATTCTTCTCAAATATTTTCCTCTACGCAGCAAAGAAAGCTGAGATTATTCGATTAACAGAACAAATACTTCAGGCTAAATCAGACTGCGATTTCGAAGCTTATTGCAAACTGGTTTCTCCTGACATGTCATGTTTCGAACCAGAAACACAAGGAAACCTAGTTCGTGGAATCGATTTTCACAAGTTTTTCTTTGATAACAGTAAGTTCTATTCAAATTGTATATAGTAGTTTTAGTGATTGATTCGAATTTTCATATCAAAAAAAGTTTGTCAGAACTATTACTAGATTATGATAATAATCTTAATCAAAGTATGATAAACTCATAAGTTGGACAAAAAAAATTGTTCTGTAATATATCTAGTGCTTTTCAGGTTGTGCACTCGAATGAATTCTGTAAGCGATGTGTAGTGTATCAATGATTCCTCCACTGTCCGCTGCGCTCTAGTGTCTCGCAAGATAGTTTCGTTTCCCTCGCTAAATATCAATACTTTTCCTAAAAAATTACTTCGTATTTGTCCATCTTTTAAAACATAAGTTTATCAATAATCGATGAAAAATTATGGCCATAAGGAGAGTACGACTGGTGATATTGGGCATTCAACCAGCCAGGCTATGATTGTTCATGTGCAGAAATTTAACGTTGATGAAGTCAAATTTTCTCATCAAAGCATTCCTGATTTGTATCACACATTTGTTTTCTTCTAGATTCAGCGAAGTCTGGCAAAACAAATAACACTACAATGCTGAATCCTATCGTTACTTTGATGGGAGATGATGGAGCGTGCGTCGCCTACATTAACTTAACTCAATATGTCTCAAGGTAAGCTTCCTAGTTTCTCTTTAGTGTGATAGTTGAAAGGTAATTGTTTCAACCAATTTCAAAATTTTACCATATTTGTGTTTCAATTTTTTATTCGCGTTCTGGAACTTGTACACTTTTATCATATATGTTATTGCATTAGTCCTTGGTCCTTCCTATCACATTCTTCATATAGGTGTAATCGTATCTGCCCTAACACTCAAAGCGGTTTTCTCTGTGACAGACCAATAGCCCTCTGCAGAGGAATTTATTTAAATGGGGGTTGGTCCATATAATCATCCCTGTTACTAACTTTCAAGTAGTCTATAACACGCATCGTAATTTTTAGCTCTTACGAGAACTTCGTAAACTTTGAGATTACAATCTTTCTACTGTTTGATAACTGTTTCACACGAGGTAGGAGAGGAATAAAGTATAAACGCAAGTTATAAATTTCAGCAACAATCAAGTCATGGTGAAGCAAGTCGAGGAAACGAGAGTGTGGCAGAGAGCTAACGGAGCTTGGCGAATGGTTCACTTCCATCGTTCCGAACGACCTGATCGACGCCGTAGTTTGGACACGTAACGTGAATGTCGTTTTCGTATTTTTCCCCGCGCTTTAGACGATGGACTTGATCTTCTGCTTTAGAACGAGACGCAGATTGTGCAACGGTTTCACCCACAATATTTGCACTTCGCGTCTTGTAACTCGAAAAGTCCATCGCATTGTGCTCGCGATCATAACGTGCGTTATTTTTATTATATGAAACTCAAACAACAACATCGATGACGTCATCAACAGAATCAAGAGCACTTGACACTTTCTTTATATTATATGTGCAGCATACTGAAACGTCGTCGTATATTGTTTTTTCTTTAATTTTTGTGCATATGAAACGAATTAACGCAACTGACAACAAATATATTATGTGCTAGACGTTGGGAAAATTGCCTCATGCGTGGTGATTTTCTGCTTCGATAAATGTTTTTCTATTTTTATTTCCATGCTCGCAAATCTCTGCAGTTTGAATGTACAATCTTGGCGGAGAAAAAATTTAGTAGTCAATTGGTTTATAAAAAGGTTTTAGTAGTTCAATTTATGAAATGATTTTATGTTCAGTATAAGCTTTTATTTTAACTAAATATATCCATAAATGCGTCTTAGAATTATAATGCATTCAACATCATGAGATTGAACATGGTTTGCAATCTCGAACATTTTATAATTTATTTAAAAAAATATGTTCAAATCGTCTTCATACTTTTCTACAGAAATCGTGATGAAAACGTTTGTGACATTGCGCTTTATCAAGTGGTGAAACTAATTTTCACATCTTGTATCAAGTTACTTTTATGAAGGCACAAAGACATAATTCAAATTCGATCTGGCTTTCAGTCCTGGATAGCAATATATCCTTGGCAGCGATTTGCTAGGTCCGAATCATGCCTGGATGCTACTGTTTTGATTAAAAAAAATCTGTTTTGACATTTGAGACCTGATCTAGAATGATCATTGGTACCATCGTCTCGTGAAGTATTCGTTATTGCATGAATAATGTTTTTGTTGTTTCTCTACTTTGTACCTGTGTATCGCGGTATTTATTGTCGGACAAATTACTATAGTTAGTGCTTTCAAAGCAGCTAGATTTTTCAAAAACAACAAAATGTTAATAATTTAATAATAGCATATATATCAGTCGTAATTGAAGTTAGTGTGAACCAAATTTCGAGTCTAAATATTTTGGGAATTCGTTCGCCATTTTCAATGTATACATCTAATATGTTCGTTAATAAGTATAGAGCATCGATTCCTAAATATGTATCTTTTCATGTATCTCTTATTCCTAATTCGCGTTCATATCGTAATCATGCAAAATAGTAAGTATATATTGGTTTGAAGAATAAACGCGCTCAAAGTCGGTTATTTTTTGTTTTGTTTGAATTTCTTAATGGTTTTACCACGTTTTTTTTGTAATTGTAGATGAAAATGAGTAATAAATTTGTGAGCAAAAGTCGTTTTTTCGACTGCCACACCAACTATTGCTTACTATGTGCGTCCGAGCCACAAGCTTCAGATTTGACAGGCTTGTGTAAAAATTGAGATGGGGCTGCGACCATTCGTAATTCAAAAAGATCATCTTCGATTATAGTCTAGTCTTAACTATATATATGCATGTGTTTGGCGAGAATTCGCTTGAACCTGCATTTATGATCCTGACGAGCAGTGATTTTCAACATATTTTATGCACGTAACACTTTTTATATCATAAATAGCTTGTGGAACACGAATTAAGAATTTTAGATTTTTCGGAAATACAATATCAGATTAACTAATTCCAATCTTGACTCCTGCCTTGATCAATTTTGACATAGAAGGAAGTAGTGAAAAGACAAACAAGCTTACGACTCGAATAAATAGAAGATCTAATAAATGTACGAATGAGAGATTCCAAATGAAGTTGTAAAGTGCTGAAATATCAATGATAACTTTCACGCTGCAAATAGCTAGAAAGTAGCAATGACATCTAATGCAATATCTGGGCATGTTTGGCGAGAAGCGCTAATGAACTCATCTATAGTCAAAGATGAATTTCGATTTCTAATTTGTTCAATTTGTTATCACACATAAATATATATATCAATTAAGTGAATTTTGATTTCTACTTGGTTCATTTTTCATCATAAATAAATATATTAATCAGAATAAACTGAGAAAAAAACAAATTGACGCGGGACACTTGAATGTCCTTTACAGACCAACAGTGTTCCTCAGAACACCAGTTGACAATCACTGCTGTAGAGCAGGGATCACCAAACTTTTTTGGCCGAGGGCCAGGTATGACTCAAACTGTGCTGAAAACGTGCCGGACAAATATTTTTGTCAATTCAATATATACAAGAAATTCACAAAAGTTGGGAAATCCACTCAATTTATTCAACAATATAAATTCGACATTTCTGAAGTCTTGAATATTAAATTGTATATCGGAAAATATAGATCAAGAACATCATAGCAAAACAAATATACAAGATTTCCAGACAACTATCCTGAGGTTAGCTGTCAGCAAAACAATTGCTGTCATGAATATCCGCATGTAAGTAATATAAAAAGTAATGTGCCTTGTGAAATTGGAGTTTAGCTTTTAAATTTCTGAGATGTTTGGTTTATGGCTACTGCACCCAACCATCAGGATTGCCTTCAAATGTGCATCAGTCAGCCTTGTCCCATGTACTAATTCCACATATATATATTTCATTTTGGAAAACCTTTGCTCACAGACATACGTGGTTTCAAAAACTGATGCCATGCCTACAGAAAACTTCTTAAACTTTGAAACCTCATAATCAGGTAAGCAACGATATAATTCAGTGAGTTTTCCTTCTCTATGTTTCTTTTTTAATAGTGTATTCGCTTGTAGATCTATTATCTCGCGAAAACGAGGTAATGTTTACAACCAGGAGTCCACGACTGAAAGTCTTTCCGAGTGACAAAAGTGTCTGAGCGGATGCGGAAAGGCCTATTGTAACGTCACTTTTTTGCATCGTGCTGATTGGCCAGTGTTACGAAATAAACAAGGAAGCCGATGCTCGGGAAAACATACCCTGGAAAAAATTTCGCCATCTTTTCGTGTTATTGCGGGCCATATGAAAGGACGCCAAGGGCCGTATCTGGCTCGCAGGCCGTAGTTTAATGACCCCTGCTGTAGAGTGATGAATATATATGTAGGTTTTCAAATAATCATCTCGCAAAGGATATCAAAATTACCGATGGTGATTCAGGGTCGCGTGATTGCCTGTGCCCTAAGTTAGCTATTATCGGCAAAGTCGAGTAAAAATCAGCGATGTAAATTGATATTTTTAAAAACTTCTTTCCCTCGGGTCGCGAAAATCTTGAGTTTCGAGTCGAAACATTAAAACTCTTGTTTGATTACGCTAACTTAGCCGTTTCCATGTGGGTAGGGTTTTGTTATCTATCAATTCTAAAAAGCAGCCTATTTTAAAACAAGGGTTTGTTTTAAATCAATTTTTTTTGTATGTTTCGTATTCCAATATCCTTTGCATCGCCGTGAAACCACGACAATATGTTGCGTTCTGGCAGCGTTACATTCAAATATGTAATAGAAAATTCTTGCTTTGTCTTTTACCGCCATGTCATTCGAAATATCAGAGAAACGCTTGGAGTAAAAAAGGCAAGAAAAATCACGAAACATAGCTCAAGGGCCTACTACAATCCAAAAGCAGTTGGATTAGGGCCCGCCCACCGGCTAAATTCGACAAAACAGGTGCGTTCATACAATAATGAAGAATATACTTAGATCGGCGACAACCTACCTCGGTTCGAATCTGGACCGGATTTAGACGAGACACCGTAGGAAATAAATTAATATCAATGACACTTACATTTTCAAATTAAGTGTTTTTTCAAATTGAATATTTTGAAATGTACACTTCCATAACAGTCAAGGAAATCACAATGTACCTGCATTTTTGACAAACGCCCCGCACAAGCCTAAGATTAAATGGACATAACAGTTGTGCTATCAAATTGTTATAATTTGAAATAGTATTTTAAATAACTCGTGACATTACTGGTGTCACATATTTAAGGTTGATCGTTACAATATGTAATATATGGCCATTTCCAGTTCGCATACAAGTGCGATTCAAACAAGTATAAAATTTATAGATGAAGCTTATTGATAATTGCCGTAATTTGAGCTAATTTTAGAATAGACCTGCGTGCGACTCATATGGTGCCCACGGGCCACTTGACGCCCGCGGACATCGCGTTAGTGACCCCTGCCCTGCTAAGTGTGAGGCCCACCTGTAACAAAAACGTAACCACTTATCTGTCATTACGTCATAATAGGGACTTCAAGTTTGTATTATGAGTTATTGACGTATGTTTGAATATTAGAACTGGCAAATAGCTAGCAAAGACACGAAAATGGGATAGTGTATGCAACCCTAAACATTTTCTGCAACAGTGGAAAACGTTTTCACTACGTCGTCAGCACGCCCTTAGACCAAACTTATAGACCAATGTCAATCAATAGCTAGTTCGCGTGATTGTCGTTTTTTAGAGTTCCTTTTGGTGAGATAAGAATAGTGCCATTTTGAATGCTACCGATTTTCGTTAGTTTTAGAGTTTCTTCTGCGATGAATAAATGTTTCATTATTGGACAATGGATGGACTTACAGTTCGTTTTATAATTATGTTGTTGTTGTTAGAATTCTTGTTGTTGTGCAAAATCGCTTGACTCTTCAAATACTTGACTACTGTAATTGCTTGGAAATTTGGTTTGATGTTTCAAATGATGTTTTTCAATGGTTAAAGTTTGCATTATTCTGAAGTTTCTTTGTGCGTCCTCTTGTTGTTGATCAATATTCAGGAAAAAATACCAAATGTTCGCTGTAAGCTTGCTTGCCTGTTCATCCACATTCGCGAAGCTGCTTGCGCTTCAATACCTGGCTTATGTGAAGGCTTCAGAATCACCCATTGTTCATCTGCTATTTATCCGCAAAGCAAAATTTTGGTGATGGTCGACTGCTTTAATCATGTTCAGGGTGTTTTTAAGATAAGTGAACAACCCTACCCGAAATAAAAAAAATTTGATCGTTTGAGGAATATTGCGAACGCTACATATTACGGTGTGTTGGCCTATTCCGGTTAAGTCGCCAAGTTCCCAGGTCACACCAAAAAAGCTATCTTTCACAATAATAGCAAAAGCTCATCAAGATATCTTTAAGACTTTCCAAAATTTATGAAAACGTCAAGTTATCCATAGCGACATATTCACGTAAAATGTGATATTACTAGAGTTATGCTCTTATTTAATAAATACATATCAAAATCTAATTTGCAAAAATAAAACGATCACAATGCTATATATACTATTAAAAATATAGAATAGAATAAAAATGCCGTTGTCCTTTATGAGGATCAGTGGACATAAATGGGTTATGAAATCATACAACTAAAACGTTTCAATATTTCGGTTATACAATAATTTAAAAATATAATAAAGTGCAACGTTGAACCTTGTTAATTTCTGGTTATCGATTCAGTTATCTTATATTTGGGGATCCAAAGGTGAATCTCTCTGAATTCAGAACAAATCGAAAGTCAACCTCCTCACGTTAAAACTAATGTTTTCCCAATTAAGGTTACTGCTACACCTGCAGCCTGTTGAAACATTGTTTTCAATAGTATTTCAACCAGGGATTTTGTTCTGAGAGACATGGTATAAAATAGATTTAAGGACCGAAGGACACATTTCAGAACGGAACTTTGTGATAAAAACGTTAAATGGGACTTTATTTTTACAATGAAACAAAATGGCTTTATATTTTAGGCAGTTGAAGGACTTAATATTTCAAAATAGTACGTCAATTGGTAGAATATGCTCAATAAAATAAACAAACATAATAAAAATAAGTTTAAAGATGTTTTCTATAAATAAAAAAATTAACAACCATGCAAAAAATGATGTTACAGCAATCAATCCACATACTCAGTTCCTACCGCGTTATTGGTCGATGGCAATAGTTATATTTTAATACGTAAGGGCTAAACATTTTGCTTCGTGCAATTTTACAAAATATTACTACTATGGTTGCTTGGTCATTTATAGGAAGAAACTTATAAGGTGTCGACCAGCAGAGAATTTTATGTAATTTGTGAATTTTTAGATGTGATGAAGGTGGGAGGTAATTCCGAGGATGGGCTGTTTGGGTTAGACGTGAGTGGAATTTCCTGAGATTTTGAAGAAATGTCCAACTTCGGCCGCAACATTTTACGAAACATCAACACGCGCATCAGTCGTTTACACAGTGACTTAAGATTTGATTGAAACTCCTTGCTTCTTCCATTGTAAATAAAAAAGTTCCACAGGCTGTTCGATAATAAGACAATCGTCCCTACAGATACAAATGATTTTATATTTATAAATTTTTTTTCGTCAAATGTAACCGGGTCTCCAGGCCATACGTCTTCCATTGTGAGATGACAAAATATAACAACGGTTGCAGGAACAACACAAATAGTGAATACTCCTACCATAATAGCTAAAGTTTTTATGAGATGACTTTCGTCTTCGTTCAATTGAGTTTTTCGTTTATTCTTTTTGAACAAAATAATCATTGCAATATTTGTACTCCAAAGTATTACGAGTGGGACGCCCAAAAGAACCGCATACAAAATTAGGCTAATTTCGCTATGCATTACTACGATCATCGATGCCAGAGGCAAAAGATATAAATCTTTTACGATAAATGGAAGAATCGAGTAAAATAATGCACAAATCCAAACAGCCGCTACTGCTATTTTTGCTGTAAGAATGGCTCGAAATTTATCATAAGAAAGTGGTCGATATACTACAAGTAGTCTATCAATGCTTGCCATCATTAACGAATATATTGATACGGAGATCGACAACGAAGTAAAGAACCCAGACAAGCCTATGGAAGTATCAGAATAAGCTTCGCTCGTTATTTTCGTGTGCAGCTTATGTACTCCGTCAACTTTTCGTGGTAATAAAAATGTTCGCCTCATTGTTTCTATCATCGAAGGTATCACGAGGACTCCAACTATCAAATCCGCCACCGCAATTGATATTTTATAAATTTTCTGACTATTTATTTGATTGCTTTTGCTTGATAGAAATACGATCAGCACAGTAGTGTTGGCCAGTATTATTGCACAACCGAGTGAGCCTGCAACGACCATCATGGTGTACAGGTTCACGATGCATCTGCAAAAAGTATGTGTTTGTCGAATGTTTATTGCCCGACCCTATTGTGTAACTTTTTAGTAGGTTAATACAATTACGACAGCCTCAAATAACCATATCTTGTTGTAATTATGTAAAATAAATAAATTTTAGCTTTAACTTATTGAATTGATTGTTGGTACAAACATCACGAACGGTTTCCAACTTTTTTAGGAAGATCTAAATTTTACCACGATATACATAAACTATTGAGTCAACTAATGTTCTAAACTTGGTATAGAAGGTTACTTGGAACAAATTGCAAGGTATTCTACTTACTCACCGACTGGGCATACACCACGAAATTGATACCGTATAAGTTGTCAATGCGTAAGATGGAATCGCACACCAAACAATTCCACAGAAAGGCATATGTATTTCTTTCAATTCAACGTATTTTTGTACTGCTGAATTGTCGGCAAAAGGCAATGATGCTTGAAAACAAGGATCGAGAAGTTCATCTTTGGAATACTTTTGTTCTTTGACATATACGTATGGAATACGGTTGAAAGCATCTCCAGTAGTTAGATTTCTATCAACCATTCTTTGCATAATTGAATGTCCAGTTTTATTAGTCATCCATTGATATCCACAGGTATCAATAAAAGCTGTTTTATTACAAAAACGTAGATACAACATGCTTGTATATTTACTGAAATTAAAAGTTTGTTTGATACACTCTTGCTGAAACTGCGGACAATCACGCGAATTAAGAACTTTTAGCAAGTCTCCCAATCTGTCATCTTTTTGGTCAGTATGCATAAGCAACAAATATTTTGAATAGAAGAACTTGCACCAATCGTTGTTTCTTTTTTCTATTGCATCACCAAACTTTCCTAACACCATCAGTAATAAGAATATATTACAAAAATTGAAGCAGACTTGTCTCATTTTGTTAATAATTATTAGTTCCTTACATTTTACTGTAAAAACAATAGTATAAGATAAATGGGGTAATTAATTTAGTTGACTATAACTATATTGGCTAGAATAGTAATACACAATTCATGACATACAGAACTTATTGCTCTTTTCTTCTTGCCATACTGTTCTAAGATATTTCACTGAAAAATACAAATACACACAATGAGCATATAATACAATATAACGCCGATGCGATGACACAAATAAAAGGTTGTTTTGATATATACATAAGTATCTTTTATCCATTAAATGCTCCTTCTGGGCATATTGTGTACAAAGGGTAAATAAAATTATAAATATTTTGCTAAATCTTGCTTTCGAAGAAATGAACTTTGATGCTGATTTATAAGCTGTTACTATAGTATAAAATAGTCTACAGTTAGTATGGTTTAAGTAATAATAATGACCATGCACCGAATAATCTGTTTTCAAATAGACTGTAACGAGGCATTTCAGACATATTTCACAAACTTGAAAAATAGTTTTGATTCAAAATAATTAATTATTTTTAATCTACATTACACTCGGGGATGTAATATCTCGGTGTGAATACTAATTTACTTTATCAGAAGAAATATTTGAATACTAAGCTCGGCTCATTGTCTCATAACATATTACCACAATAAAATGCGCATACGCCAAATCTATTCTGCGGCCATCCTCTATTCAAATTCTGTAATATACAGATTGAATATATCAGCAAGCAGCTAGTTTCACTAAGCGAAAGAAAATGTGCACCACAAAGGCAAAGCAATCTCGGCCAATCCATTCATCTGATTAGGACTTTCACATTTGTATTATGTAAGTCACGATCACGAACTTGAGATAGTTAAATTAACAATGTATACAGGAAAAGCAGTAAATGTAAAGAATTTTCAGGTATATTTGTGGCAAATACGAACTATTCCAAATCACTTATTATCACAGTACACAAGTTGTTTACAACACCAGGTAACATGCTCATCTACGGACCACACATCACCCACTTTTCACCAATTTTTACGTAAATTAATAGCCTCCACGTTACATATTGCAAAGGCTTGTATTTTTCAAAAGAAGAAAAGAATATGGTTTCGTCAATAAACGGGATATAACTTTTGATAACAACCCTAAAATGTAATTTGAAATCGATATTGGTATAAGCAACACTGAATATGAACTTGTTCAGAAATTCTTTACAACCGACTAAATTTTCAAATATTTAAAGTAGCTTTTTAGCTGTTTAAACATGTAATTAAGATATTATGTAGCGTTATATACAAATATAGAGATATGAAAAAATGAATTCATCACAACCTTATCATTAATATGACAGCAAAGAATTTTGTTCCAAATGAATGTTCCAAATGACCCTTTCGGGTATTTTTTGGTAAGATTATCTGATAATACGATATATGTCACAGTAAAGTTATGCTGCTGAAATAGAAAGATTTAAAAAGATAACGATCAAACAACTCAAATTTCACTCTCATAATTAGAAAATCTGACCGTTATAATAAAAACCTGCTGCTTAGTGGAACGGAATTGCTTCACTTTTATTCCGAAATTCTCTATCTTATTGCCGTCAGCCCAATTGATTCCGATAAACAATAAGTATGCTTTTTAAAGTCTTTAACCTTTCTGTGGCATACCTAAACGTTCAGCCTGCTTAACCGTTTAAACTCTAAAGTCACAGGCCTCGTATCTTTACATGCGCCTAATATGTACTGTATCACAAGCATTCTTTGATGAACCAACAAACCGGATAGCTTCGTATCATGTTACAAAGCACACTGATATAAAATACGATATACTAAAATAAAAATCATGGTTATTATCAATAGTAATCTTGTAGCCCATCGCGACACGTATTAAAGGTTACGGCACCTTTTTCTCTGTGAGTACTGGACGAGAGTACAGTTATGAGAAATGCTTGCATGTATCCATTTATGATGTAACTTTAGCATGTGGCTGTCCGAAACGATATCATCGAGAAATGTTTACGAATTCAAAACATGAAAAAACATTTACAAACAAACAACGGAAGTATGACGTCAAACTGCATCTTGTTCATGGAAAAACCTATTCTAGTTTGATGTAATCTACTGGTATTTCGCCTTGGGACCCTCAAGCTTCAACGCCCAAAAGTCACCATAGCTTTATATAAAATTATCATTATTAAGCTTTTTGAAAAGGGTCTGAAACAGATTTGTCTTAGAATAAAAAATTAGTCGAAATGTGCAGGCTTGAAATTTAAATTGGACCGCACGAGTATTGGTACAGTACAATATTTCCGTTTCGAGATTTTTTTGCTTGTCAAAGTTTTGTTTTTAACTTCGTAATTTTTTGTCGAAATTTATTCAATGGTATATCAATTTACGATGAAAGTCTAGCATAGAAACCCAATAAAAATTTTTGAACACCGAATGCAACTAATACAATAAAAGTGTTGAGGCAAGCTTTCACCACAACAATTACTTTTGTCTGGCTTGCGAGAAAAGGTGGAATATTTTTGTGTTGTCACACGTCAGAGCTTGCTATATGCTGGGCGGACATAAAATCTATAGGTGTCGAATAATATCATATCATCAAATGGTCCAGTTGCGATTTCCGGGTATACAAAATAGATCGTTTTTATATCACATTGGAGTCAAATCACGAATTGCACTTGTCTTTTTATTTATAGGTAAGAATTATTGAGAGGCTTCGTGCAATTTACGTCGGCTTAACCGTGCCCAGTTGTTAGTTCATATTTAGTTTTTCGGGTCTCACATCAACATATATATTGTGCGGATGACGTACGTAAATTACGCATTTACTTGCCAACACAATGTAAGCGAATCATAAAAAGAGAATAAGATTAGAAATCTAACATGAAGTGTTTGGCAGCAGTGGCGAGGGACTTCGAAAGGACATCATAGCCTTTCAGGCTCAAAAACCTTCGAGATGGGCGCGTATAAAATGGTAATTCAGTGCAAATTCTTCTAAGACCCAACTAAACACTCAAACAAACCACCAAAACACGAAAACAAATTGGATCAATGGGTACCTTTTAAACATGGTCAAATTGCCTGAGAAGGAAATACCTTGATTACAAGATAAAATATGCCAAAACGTGTCCAGTCAGTCTGAAAATTTTCAGTATTGAAAAAGTGATTTTGCACACAACGCATGAACGCAAAAAATGAATTAAAATTTAAAATAAATAAATTAAAAATTCAATGCTTAAATACATGGGCACGGAGCGCAAATGTCATGTGTTCCCGTGACATAAATTACAACAACAAAAATTTAGGTGAAATATCCAGTTCCATTAAGAGTCAGAGGAAACTTGAAAATAAAATGTAGCAAAACGATCCATTGGCGCACTCCGCGTCCAATAAATGGTTTCAAAAATTGACACAGAAAACCTCGTACTGTAAAAGTTCCCAAACTAGTACAACGCAGCTCAACCACAGATATGAAGCTACTTTCATTTACATCATAGAATTACAATTCAACATTGAATATTACAATAGTATAAAATAAAATATTGACACACATATCTCTTTCTCTGGTAATAAAACATGACCTGATGACTGCTTGCCCCTAACTGACTGCGTTGAATTTACATTCTCGGAACTACAGTAACCGTATTCTGAAAAAGCAAACAATTTTGAGCTTTTGTTGTTTCGTATGCAATATTAAGTGAGAATTAAGAGAACCTCAAGAATAGATAAACATCTCAGCTACAAAAGCATAATAACAAATCTGAACCAGCGGCGGCTCATTTTATGCATAACAACAATAAACTACTTATATTCGAAATGTTGTGATAACGACCGAGGCGCCTATGAATATTTCAATACCTTTAGATGGAAAAATTACCGGATTGGGGTCTATACGACAAACAGCAATATAGTTAACCTTAATATATAAGTATACTGTGTACACCGGTGGTTCTCCAACTTTTACTGACCGCGTACCACTTTACTGTTTTTACTCTGGTCGTGCGTACCACCGAAAAAGCCCCTTTTTATCGTGGGGAACAATAGCGCAAGATACGCGCTATGGGAGTATTTCATGATGTGGTACTACATCCTTTGTGACCTAATTCGCAAGACGGACGAAAACCTGCGCATCTCGATTCGTTCATGGACAATAGCAGGCGAGGGCGATCTCTAAACACAGGACTGGTCCGTAGAACGTTTCTCCGACCCTTGACCCCAGAAAAATTCTTCCTATACTTTACTATTGCAAAAAAAAAAATACTTATTTTAAGAGTGTTTTGATGTGTTTGCGTTTACAAGCTGGTTTACGTGTTCGAAAACCCTCATTTTCATTAAATTTAATCAACAATGTGCCGTTTACAGGCACTGATAGCTTAGTTTAGACTAGTCTCATTTTTGGTTACAGCAACTAAATTAATGCTCCTCTGAAGACATAATGACATTTAAGATATTTAATTCATAACTATTTTTTTGAAACACAACTGAAAACTGACAAATACCACGCAAAACTACAAAAACGAAGCAATGATTACTTTACAATCATACTTGAATATCTGTCTGAGCGACAGCAGTGTTTGAGCGGCTGCAGAAATTGCAATTGTTATGTCATTGTTGACTTTTTGCTGATTGCCTATGGTTACGGAAATAAACAAGGAAATTGATGCCCTGGGAATTAATGAATACCAGCGACTGAAGAGTCGAAGAAGATAATTCAAATACCATACTGGCGTAGCAGATATTTGAATAGATATAGGTCGATAGATAATGAAAATGCTTGTTTCGAAAACAAAAAAGATTGTAACAAGATCTAAACTTCCTTTATCAATATTGTTGACGATTTTTACAGTTCCAGTTCACAGAATGACGTAACTTTGAAAGAACGATTTTAAATATTCATAACAACACGTCTAAAGTGTTTTATTAATTTTTACGCAAACAAAAAGGTGTTTATGGCAAAGTGTTTCCTACAAATATGTTCGAACGATTTAACATTATAATTCATTTTCTTTACGAAAACCTATATCAA